AAAGTGACTTTGAGGTCATGCTGTGCGACTTTGAAAGCCGTTAGAGAGATGAGTGGACGCATTTGAATTAGTAGTATACCAAGGTATCCAGTGATGTAATTTTACCCACAAACGGACTTGAAGTTTTTAAGCTAATTTTTTTTAAACCACTTTTGCCCAAAAAAGCATATTTTTGACCCAAAATCAAAAACGCATTCTGGATATTTAAAATAAAGACAAGTTTTACAAAGTTTGTATAATAAGCTTTCAGAAAATATATAACATGTTGGATATATAATACCATCTTCATTGTCTAATTACTCAATTAAAAAGCAAGCCAAATAAACTGCATCTCTACCTTAATTTGAAAAAGTGGAATTAAGTGGATGGAAATGATAAAGTGACATATTTGTGTATTAGTGACACATGCAGTAATTTTTGAAATGTTTAAGGTTAGCTATGATCTAGATAAACTTGAATTTGATGTCACAAGGTCAGTACCATCAAAAATACTGTGAAAAAGTCTAATTAACAGTTGTAAAAATGATTGTTTCTTGCACAAATTAATAGGCTACAAATAAGAAATATTTTTTTCAAAGTGCTCAAAAAAGGGGTACAATTTTATTGTTCAATAAATTCATTATTCCAAAAAAAAACAGATAATACAACATTTATCACGATATAATCTGACAACAGGTTTAGAAAGAAGTACTGTACTGTTCACTCATATGGTACAATGACCAGTGACACAAGTCTGCAAAAAATTTAAAACGAAAATATTCAGAAAACTATGTACTTTCGTTTCTCAAAAAAATATTATAAAGGTTCTTCGTAAGAATCATTTGGATTGAATAAGAAATTCAAAATTATGCAAGTGGGAGCTTTTGGCAGGCAGAGACTGTACCACACAAAATATTATGACACTGTCAAGCAGATATCATGGCATCCATATACCAGTACACATCCAAGGTGGCAACTCAAGATTGAATGTACATCAATGCATTGCATGTTTTGCAACATGTTTTATTTGTTTCTTAATTCCCTTGATTTAATTGATTTCTGTATGTTTTATACATACATGTATAAAGTTAGAACATGAATTAATACATACAATTTAAAATCTGTTTTAGAAGACTGCTAATTAATAGGATAAATTTAATAATTATTTATTTTTTATTTTAAATGAAATGGGTGTGTAAATTAATAGAGTTGTTGTTTGAGTGTCATCTGTATCAAGCACAATTCAACATTCCATAAATGTAACAAACACTTAAATTAATTAACAGTGTCAGCAAGGGAAGAACATTTTGCTTGTTTTGAAGTGATGTAGAAAAGAGCTGGTAGCCGGCCAAAAGTACCACCTGCTCTGAATAAAATAGCTAATTTTTTTTGTGTTTTTCAGTCTTGTTGGGATGACCTACATTTCCATTTTTTGCCCTCACTTAAAAACAAATTTACATCACTGGTTTTAGCATGCGTTTTCTACAACATTAGCGAGTATTTTCATGTTTCAGGTCAACACTGTATATTTTAACGATGTTACATCAATTACTGAAACTTCACCCAAGCCGTTGCACTATACGAACCCCTGACTTAGCCCCAACACTAAATATGGTGTTCATAAAGCTAGACTTTGATGTACCCTTCAACTACACCAACGTCTAATATTTAATATAAAACAAAAGCCCCAGTGACCTAGATTCCACCACAATTAAACATGCATCCTATTATATACCGAAAAAGTTGACTTTAGATGATATCACTGGATAAAAATAGATTTACATTCTGCGGTTTATGAATTTACATACATACATTTGTTTGTTTGTTACATTTTATTATATTAATCAAACAGGTGAAATGCGAGTAAATTGTCGACAGAATCTTATGATTTCCTAATTTTTTAGTAATATTAACTGATCTAATATCGCCATATTGAATGCACGTGTGATATTGTCTGAATACACACAAACAAACCAACCAACCAGACTGAATTTTGTCACGTCATGCCAAACTTACCGGTATATTTACGCATGGCGGTCTCGGGCAAAGAACCATGTCGGCCATAATCGGCGCATGGCACACAACTTTAGAACACAAATCGATTCTACTTGTGCGATGTAGTTTATTACTTCGGTTTTTCGGTGGTGCACGTGAATTTCAAAATGAATAACATATAAAACGCTCAAACTCACCTGACTTTGGCTCTGTGTCTGTGAATCGAGTTGAGATGCTTGGCTCTGTGATGCCTGCGTTTGAGACGGGAGTGTAAAATCGGTGAAATCAAACTCGGAACCCTGCGTGTCCGCACCCAGAAGATCACCTTCTTCCGTGTCTAAAAAAGTTAAAGTTTGCGAGCTTGGACCGTATGCGTCGACACTCATCTTTCGCTATGCTAATGCACAGATTTTCCTTTGAGCAATCAGCAATTATTACAACAGTAAATGGTTAGTTTATGTTCCGTTAGAAGCTCTGAATCCTCAACAAATCGGTTGAACAGAAGCGAAACTTTAAGATTCCACGACGGCACGAGCCATTTTCGCGGAAATGGGTGACGTTTACACACTGCGCATGTTTCGATGACGTTTTCGTCACGGCTAAAAATATCGATGACGTTTATAGCGCTTGTATATTGGTGGCGCTGTTTAACAAAATGAAATGTTGAAAATTTTTCTGTGCTGTGAAGGTTTATATCGTCGAAATCTCGAATTAAGCCATTAATTAATCGGTAGATGAATTTTTTTTTCGATTACCCAAACAGTTAGTTGTACAAAGAAGGTAAGTGAACATGTTTCTGCTAAAATAATGTGTTATTAATCAATTGAAAAGCCAACTTCCGGCATCGGACTAGCTGAGCTTAATTCGGGAAGGCAACCAAAGTCAATTTAACAGATGCAGAATTTTCAGAACAACATGCATTAACCCCGCCCCTCAACACGGTGTCGGGGGACTGTGCATTAACATAGTCTGGTTCGCAGTATATTTTATACAAACTCATCAAAAATAGTCATTTTAAAAGGACTGACCATTAGAAACCCTGTGTGAGATAGAATGGTGACAGTAGACCGGCGGGAAATATGTTTTAGTTTACGTAGCAAAAAGCTTTCATGATTTATGTGTACCAGCTCCACGGACTAGTCAGCTGGCGTGCGTGATATCGGGGTTCCCTTTCTTTCTACCAATAGGTGAAGTACATGGGTTTAGTCAACTGATGAGTGGTACGGTCTTGCTCGGGGGTCACACATTTATGTGTTTTAGCGGGGGACGGTCGATTCGTACCAAATCACATTCGTCCCAAGTCGATTCGTCCCACAAGTCGATTCGTCTCAAGTCGATTCGTCCCACAAGTTAATTCGTCCCAAAGTCGATTCGTCCCACAAGTTGATTTGTCCCAAAGTCGATTCGTCCCACAAGTCGATCGATTCGTCAGATTTAAGGTTCGCCCACTACTAACTCGCCAAATAAACACAAAAAATCCAAACAACGAACTGTTCACGTACACGTCATGCACTGGCATGCGTAATTGTTCATTATGCAATTTTGTTTTTGCCGACGTTATAAACAAATACACCGTACACGCAACGTAGAGTTATTAGTTAATAAATACAAATACACCGTACATGCAACGTACAAGTTATTAGTTAATAAATAAATACAAACACACCTTACATGCAACGTAGAGTTATTAGTTAATAAATACAAATACATCGTACATGCAACGTACAAGTTATTAGTTAATAAATACAAATACATCGTACATGCAACGTACAAGTTATTAGTTAATAAATACAAATACACCGCACACGCAACGTAGAGTTATTAGTTAATAAATACAAATACACCGTACATGCAACGTACAAGTTATTAGTTAATAAATACAAATACACCGCACATGCAACGTAGAGTTATTAGTTAATAAATACAAATACACCGTACACGCAACGT